ACACTCACACACCTAAATGGGATGTCCCAAGCACACATCATTATGCACAAAACTCATCCACTCTGGCAGTGATACTCCAGTGTTATCAGTTGGATCCTCTTCTTACAACAGTGAGCATGAGAGATCTTCCTGAGGGTTTTCACAAAGCAGGTTTCATCAAGCTGTGTGAAATACATAAAGCTGTGTGAAATATTTTATATATTTTAAAGGGCCTTGGGAAATCCAAGTTGTGCCCTGGATTTCAGAGCAGGGGTTGCTTTGTTAGGAGAATCTGTGGCATGCAAACCCCATCAAACTGCACAGAGCTGGGATTGCCTCTGCCAGTGCTGGGTGAAGGTGTGGGGTGAGGGAGCCCTTCCCCACAAAACCCAGGCATTGGGGAAGGGCTGGGATTCTGGGGACACTGCCCTGTGTGAAGGCCTAACCCAGCTTTCCTCCCCCCAGCACAGTGTCTGCAATGGGCCACGTGCTCGTGGAGTCAGCAGCCACAGAGCCTTTCTTCCTCATCCCACCTGCAAGGTGGGTATACAAACCTCATTAGCAGCAAGGAAAGTGCTCTGCCACGCTCTGCAAGCTGCTGGAAATCCTTGTCTTGCCTGCCTTGTTTCTGTAATGAAAGCTTCTTGCTCCATCCCTCCTGCCTGAAGCTGTCCCAGAGCTCTAACATCTGATTTCTCTCTTAATTCTATAATTGACTGCTTGTTTGACACCAATTTTTTTTCCATTTTTACTCCCAACCACCAAGATTTCTCCTGCTTTTTTTTTTTTGTTCTAAAGAAGGTCTTCCTGAAAGCAGAGAGGTCAGAGAAGTAATGAACTACATAATAATGGGATGCATGGGAAAACTGCCCCTTCCTTTCAGCACATTTTGGCCATAAGAACGGCCATTGTGCAAGTGCTGCCTGAAGCCTTTCAGAGGGAGAAAATCAATGGCAGGGCATTTCATAGTTTAGTGTAGCACTTGGGAGATAGAATCTCCTTTTACTTTGGCAGTAGCAGTGGGAGGAGAGTCAGGGATAATGAATTGATCAGAGTTGGAAGTTTGTTTTCAGGGGTCATGGGGAGGGGAAGCATCCTGGAAGCAGCTTTTTAATGACACTCCCTGTGACTTTATAGCCAAATATTTCTGTTCTGTTTATTGCAGTCTAGAGATGGGTGCTGGGGGGAGGTAGTGAGCTCTGCATTCTGCCTTCACCTTCAGACAAGTGTGTTGGAGACAGTGCTCAAATCCTGCCTTTGTTTCAGACTCTCTGTGCTTGTGCTTCCCTCAGGTCTGCTGGCACGGACAGCCTGAGCTGGGAAACGCTGCTGGGAGAGCTCCTGACACAGAGGCTTCTGTGCCAGCCTGCTGAAAAGGAGAGGGAAAAGCTCCTGGAGCTGCTGGCTGTGCTGCAGAGAAGGTAGAGCCTCATCCACCCTGCCAGCAGCATCCTCTGTGGGATCAGGGAGCACTGCAGAGTCTGGGACGTGCCCCACACAGCATCACACGCTGCCATCCTTGCCTGAAATAAGGGCTTTTCAATTTTATTCTGCTCAATTTCCCTGCCTGGCTTGATGATTCATTCTTTTTATTATTCTTTTAGAACAAAGGGCAGAAAAAAATGGAGCCATCTTCCAGCTTGCTGCACCTAGATAAAAGCAGAATTGCTGTATTTATGTATGCATGGCTTTATTGAGGCAGCAATATTATTCATCAGTAGTAAATACTGCAATTATTGTTATAATATTCTCTTCCAAAGCTTTTCACATTCTTTTTAAGTTCCATTGTATCCTTTTCTAAATGAATTTATTCTGGTTTAACAGAGGCATAGCAGTGATTTTTTTTTTTAATTTTATTTTCTATGATTCAATTCAATGTGAGATGATAAAAGCCAACCATGTTTTAGGAGAGAAGAGAAAGCAAAGTAAATTTTTTTGACACCTTTCAGCTACTTTTTTTTTCCCCATTATGTATTATTTGATTCCTAAATCTGTATTCCAATATTGGAAGTATATTCCTGCCTGTGTGCTTGTCAATACAATAAGCACTGTTTGCTTACTTGCTTTCATTTACCACAGTTATCATTCTCACTTGTATCGCTTTTATCCTGCATGATTAATCACAATCAATAAAAAAAATAGATCTTTTTTTTTTTCATTTAGAACTGTGGAAAAGGTGCTTTTAAAGCTATATTCTGGAAATACAGGCTGGGAAAAAAATCTTTTTCATGTTTGTAAGCCCAGTGACTTTAATAGAGCTGTGCAGTCAGATGAGGATGGGGCTGGGAGTGGTAACTGAAGTGTGGCCACCACCAGTATGGAATAATGAAAAACAGAGTCAATGAAATGCACAGTTGCCTGTAAAATGTGCCATAAACTGATGATTCAGCAGCTCCACACTTATCACACATTTATCAAGCAGGTAACATAAATTTTGTGGGACTGTGTGCAATAACTCTTGGAAGACCTCAGGGTAATATAGCACCAGCCAGATTTCAATGTGAATATATTTTTAAAAGTCAGGTTTTCCTCCTCTTCACTGCTGGGGTGTAACAAAGTTCAGGTAACACAGATAATGCTTAAATCAAGAGAAGAGCCCTGGGAATTGTTACAAGTGGGATTTTTCTACAGCACTTTAATTTAAATTATTCCTGTTGGCAGATGATTCCATTAAAAAATCCCACAGATCTTGCCATTTTTCCTCCAGTTTTTGTGCAAACTGAATGCCAGAGGAACACCAGGGTCAAATGAAAATTTAGTGAATGCAGAACCACTGAGAGGAATAAAATGTCTCAGAGCACATCACCAGCCTGGGAATTCACTGCCACAGGAGGTCGAGTCTTGCCTGCAGCTACATTTTTAAACCAGTGATATAATTTTATTAGAGTTGTAATATTATTTTTAATTATACCAGCTAGGAGGGAAATAAACCATTCAAGTCTCTTGATTCAGAGAGTAACCAGCTTCCACCCATGGGGTCAGGAGGGAAATTCTCGTTTTCAGTCCAATCCAGTGAGTCAATTTGTGTTTCTTTTTGGCTTTAAACTCTTTGGAATCACTTGGTGTCAGTCACTGCCCCACTGGCAGCATCTGTGGGTGCACATCAGATTTTTGCAGTTAATTCTCTGAGATGTTACTCAGGATAGAGAGAGGAAATTTGCTTTTTTGTGATGCAACCACCAATTTCTTTTCCACCCTCTCCCATCCATGGTCATGCCTAATTGCCAAGTTTATTAAAAGCAGAAGTTTCTTTTCTTCCTCTCAGATAACTGACGCAAATGTTAGACTGTGTTTTTATAAACTATTTGCCTTCCAAGCTTTCCCAGAGTGGCTAAAAAATTCAGTTTATTATTCCTGTAATAAAAGATCTCTCCTCAGCAATCTGCAGTTTCCCTGCTCATCTGAAGGGTGAATTCACACAGGGAGCCAGAATTAAGGGATCTGAGCAAACAAACCCCTTGTTTCCAACTGTACTCATTAGCTAATTCTCTTTTGCATATTTAGAAGATGTCACCTGATACAATTTCAGGGGGATTTCTGCCTGTGGATGGATGGAAAGTTCTTTCCCTTCTGTTGGAAGAAGCAGGATTCAATACCAAGACAGATTTGACACAGACATGACACAAATGAGCTGAACTTTTTTTTTTTTTTTTTAAATCATTATTTTTTTGCCTATCAGGGTGGAGGAAAGCAGCAGCAAAGTCTTGGAAGCTGAGAAGAAGCTCCAGGAAGAGCAGTGGCAGAGTGACAGCCTGGAACAGCAGCTGGAAAAGCTGCAGGTGGATCCAGAGAGCAGCACAACTGCCCAGGAGCCTGCCCTGAGGAGCAGGAAAGGTAAAGGGGAGCCCTCAGTTATTTTATTTTCAGGGTGCCCCATGGCAGGGAGGAATGATGGATCTGATTCCATGTTCTCAGAAGGCTAATTTATTATTATATTATATTATATTATATTATATTATATTATATTATATTATATTATAT